CCTCGTCTGGGAGGCCGCGGGGACCGCACCCCAGCTGCGCCGCGCTCAGGGACGCCTCCGTGCCCGGGTTGCTGACGCCAAGCTTACCCAGGCCGCTCGGACGCAGCTAACTTGACCCGTGCCCTGGCCCGAGGAGTGCGCGCAGGAATTGGGGGCAGGGGGCGCGGGGGCGGCCGGCCAGCGGCCCGGACTCCCTCCGCCCCGCTGGCACAGGCCCCCTCTGCAGGGCCCGTGCTGAAGGCCGCCGGCAGAGGCGGGAGCTCTTGGCGGCGTGCCCCTGAGTTGTTACCAACGTTCCCACTACGGTTTGATACGCCCTGAACTTTGAGTTCACGTCCGTCCACACGGTGTTTAGGCAAGTCATAAACAGCATTTATTAGGTGACACGGGAGAGCCGTTTGCCATGTCTCCTCTGTGCAGCGCAGTCCGCGAACTACCACCCTGCCCTGGGTGGATCGCTCCTTCTGAGCCCTGGTTCCCAAGGCACCCTGTGTAGGCAGGGTCTGCCCCTTACCTGCCACAGGAACCGTGAGGGCAGGGCTGTTGGCACCCTGTTGACAGCAGGAGCGGTCTCAGGGTCGGATAACCTGCCCAAGGTCACTGCTAGGAGAGGGCAGCACCAGCCTTGAGGACCAACAGGCCACCTCAGAGACCCTCACTCATCCATCTGGCCTCCCCACACGTGGCTTGTCAAGCTGCTGGAGTAAACGGCTCCACTGGGCTCCTTCTGAATTCATCCTTAGGTACCCTATCCCTCATCCCGGTCTGTGTGACTCCTGGCTGGTGCCATTCAGGGGTTTGTGTCATCCCCAGATAAAGCAGCCCCAGAAGGCCAGGGTGGTCATGGCTGCTGAGTAGGAGCAGAGGGGCAGCCTAGTGAGTAAGGAAGCTGTGAGGAGCCAGCAGGAAGGAGTCACTGTGTGTCACTTCCTATCGTGTGGCATTGAGCCCTCAGGGAAGCCCTTTCCTGGCCACTGCCCCAGCAGGTCTCCTTTCTTAGTGCTGTGCTGGAGCTGGCTCTCAGGCTTTTCATAGTTTGGGATCCCTTGGAAACACCCTTGGTATTCCCAGATCCCTGGTCCTGGACTCACTTTTCCTGTGGACCTGGGGCTGACATTTGGTTTCCAGTGAAGCCCCTTCGCAGTGTCCTTGGACTGACACGGTGCTGTGGCTCTCCCTGCAGGCCATCGCCTCCCCTGAGGCTCAGCTGCGGCCCCCCAGGCCTAGGCGCCCATGACACCTATGCTGACCGCCGCCCAGACGCCACCGCCGTGCACTAGCACCGCCGCTGGGCCCAATGCCGGTCATGCCCATCCCGCGGCGGGTGCGCTCCTTCCACGGCCCGCACACCACCTGCCTGCACGCAGCCTGCGGGCCCGTGCGCGCCTCGCACCTGGCCCGTACCAAGTACAACAACTTCGACGTGTACATCAAGACGCGCTGGCTGTACGGCTTCATCCGCTTCCTGCTCTACTTCAGCTGCAGCCTGTTCACCGCAGCACTCTGGGGTGCACTGGCTGCCCTCTTTTGCCTGCAGTACCTGGGCGTGCGTGTCCTGCTGCGCTTCCAGCTCAAGCTGTCGGTGCTGCTGCTGCTGCTAGGCCGCCGGCGTGTGGACTTCCGCCTCATGAACGAGCTGCTCATCTATGGCATCCACGTCACCATGCTACTGGTCGGGGGCCTGGGCTGGTGCTTCATGGTCTTTGTGGACATGTGAGCCCATGGCAGGCGCCCACCGAGCCGTGTGTGTTGCACGGGCCCTCGGCTGTGTCCTTTTGATGGGGTGGATTGGTCAGGGCCTCTTCCCACCTCCCAACCCGCGGGTGAGGTCTGCAGCACACGCTGCTGTCCTGCTCCCACGGGAGAGAAGGGCTGAGACTTTCCTGGGATGGGGACACTAGCGCTGTCCCCAGGCTGGCTTCTGTGCTAATCCTCCCTGTGTGTGCATTTAGGTGCCATCGCCCTCACCCCTACCACCTGCCTTGGTCCTGCCCGTGCTTTCTTGGTTGTACTGTGGGGTGGCTCTCCAGGCTGCCTGTGTGTGGTCCCTCCCCAGCCTCTGGCCTCTCTCCAGGACCATGTCTGGTGGAAACTTTCAACCCCTGGACATAAAAGTTGTGTGCCCAGGGGCAGACCTGCAGGGGCTCTCTTGGCCATGCAATGCCTTCCTGTGCACCCTGGCCCGGCCCAGCCTCAGGGACATGTATGGCCCGTAGCTGACACACCACACTGCCACAAAGCCGTTCACTCCGCAAAGCCCACAGACCACCCTCTGCTGTCACCCTAAGGGGGTATGTGGCCTCTTTGAGGAAGCACTCAGCACAGAGGCCTATGTGTTCAGGCTCCCCACAGGAAGCAGTGGGCTCTGCACAGGGCAGTGCCGAGAATGTTGTTGGGATGAATCTATCCCACTAAGCCAGCGGGGGGGAGGGGGTGACACGTCACTTCTCTGGCCTTGCCTGGGTGGCTACTAAGGCATCTAGGCATAGAAAGCCAGAATGGTGTTGGGCAGGGGACCACTGTTGGGGGGGCTTTCCCCTTCAGAAGGACACAATGCCAGGGCCTCCCCCAGCCCCTTGCTGTGACCATCCTGGGGTGCCAGAGTGGGTGGCTGTGGACAGGGTGGCTCTGTGGCTTTATGGCCAACAGGCCTCACGATGAGTGGGAGGGTAGCCTGAATCATGACAACTGGCACAGCGGGCAGACAGGCTCTCAGTCCTCAGACATGTAGGCCACCCTTGCTTAACCCCAGTTGTCCCCACACCCCAGGCATGGGCGTGGCCTTTGACCCTGCCCTGCCAGGTAGCCCAGTAGCCAGGGGCTGTGAGGACAGTTGTGTGCCACTGGGAGAGAAACTCAGAACAACCCAAATCAGGTAGAGAAAGCAAAAAAGACTTGGCTGTGAACTGGACTCTTTAACATGTAGCCAGCTGGTGTGGGCTGCTCTTCCAACAGGTCAGTGGGGACTGTCTGAGTCCAGCGGGTGGGCGAGGCACTTACTCCACTTCTTGCTGCAGAGAATCTTTTGCACTAAGTCATGTGTTTTCCTCAAAGAAGCTTTGTTTCTTGTTAATTAACTCCCGTTGCTCAGAAACACCGAAGCCCCCTTGCCGATGGGGAGGGTGCATGTCTGTGGGGGTGGGCGGCAAAGGGGTGGAGGAGGGGTCTGGCTGTGCCACCTGGAGGTCAGCCAAGTGTGAGGAGTTGGCTGCCCTGTCCCGTGCTGAACACCCGCCACTTGGTGTCCCGAGTGCCTGTAAATTCTTTATGAGATGAGCCACCTGCATTAAACCTATTTTTTTAATGTGTTGACGGAGTGGTTGCTTAAAGCTCACAATCTTTATTCCTCTTTTTAAGGGTATAATCACCAACCAAAAGCACCACCAAAACCACTTTTCTTCTGTGAAGTTGGGATCATTTGTCCAGCCAGTGGTTTGCGAGGTTGGGGAGGAAGCCCAGGCCGGGGCTCCCTTGTGGGCTGCTGTCCAGGAGAAGGGTTGTCAGCAGGGACAGTTGCCAGCAAGTGCCACTGCAACTCTTATTTATCCAAAAAACAGTTCGAAAGTGAGACCCACTGTCATTGAATGTCACTGAGTGAAGGTTTCCTTCGCGTCTGTGAAGGGGAGATCGTGTTCTTACTTTCACTAGCAGAGACTCCTTCAAGCACAATAAGGATGACAACTTCCACACAGCCATTGAAGCCAGAGGTATCACTTAAAGGAAGACTAGGATCAGTGACATCGCAGCCTATCTGTTGTTTGTGGAACTTTGTGCAACTTTCACACAACTGAACTTAGGGGTTTAGTTTTTGATGGCAGAGTTGGTGAAATCCTTTAAAAGGCCTTTGCCCCTGAGAAGCAGCCTGGGCTTAGAAGGCTGACGTCTGTCACCAAGTGCAAAACCAGGTGTGGCATGGGGTGATGCTTCCCCATCCCGGCCTCATCCGAGGGCCTGGAGGTCTTCCTGCCTTGCAGGTGATGCTGAGCCGCAGCGGAATACTGGGTGGGTGTGGGGCCCTGGTGGCTGCACCCAGGTGGCCTCTCTGGCATTGCCTGGGAAACCAAGGCCAGCCGTTTGCTGACGGCCCTCTGGGGAGTCCTGCCTCAAGAGAGCAGAGGCCACTTTGCTTCACCAGGTGTGGGGGAGGGTGGCTGTGCCAGGCCAGAGGCCATGCCCATTCACTCACCATGCCAGAGAGGCTGTGCTGGGTGACCACTTTGGCACCTCCCTGGACCTCCCTCCTACCTCGCCTCCCCCTTGCTTTGGGTGGATTTTACGTGCTTTTGGTTGTCTTATGTGCTTTGGGCCACCTCCATCCATAGGACTCCTGTGGCGGTGGAAACCCCCGTCTGTACTGTATGTGTAGGAGCCACCAGCGCCACGTGGCCACTGGATGGGCACCAATGTGCCCTGTGACTGAACCACTGCATGTCTCATCGAACCCAAGGCAGTAGTTCCCATGGAAAGAACCGTGTGGGTCATAACCAGGGTATCCTGTGTGTTCCAGGAGCCGGGATCTTCCCAGGGCCACAGCGTGGCCTTGCGGGGCTGTGGAGCTGCTAGGGGCTTCACTCTCCATTGACCAATCTGCCAGGCCTTTCTCCTGCTTGACAGGCACCATTTCAAAGTTGTTTATCCCTTGAGGCCTGGACCATGGGCTGAGCTGTCCTAGGTGTGTTTCTGAGGGGCGCTGGGGCTGCTTGGAAGTTGCCCCATCCCCAGGGGCACACATGCAGGCCAGACCGTGCTGCTGCTGCAGAGAGCACACTCTGGACCCCGATGGCGCTGCCTGTTGGGGCTGCCTGTCCAGGGCCCCCAGCAGCAGCTGCATCTCTGCCGGGTGAGGACACACGCAGGAACCTGGATGTTCCGCTGAAACATCTCATTTAGAGCAGATTTATTTGCTCATTATGGGCTCCACATGTCCATGCAGAAGCGGGAATGACCTGCACGCCTGGAGGCTTCTGGAGGCTTCCAGCACGGCCAGAAGTTGAGGGCTGGGGAGGTGCTGATGAAACCAGGCTGAGCACAGGGTACCAAGGCCGCTGGCAGGGGTTTCAGGCAGTGCCAGCAGCTTGGCACAGAGCTGGGTCTGGTTCAGGAGACAGGATTAATCTTGACAACACGGCCAGTCTGCCCAGCAGCCCAGGTTGCCTATGAGGTAGGAATGTGACCCGGGAGACTCTGGGCAGCCGGCCAGGCCTGAGGGCACCGGGAAGCAGAGGGTGGGGGATGAGGACTGCTTGCTGCTCCAGCGGGATGTGAAGATGGAAGACGCTGGGTCTGGAGGCCAGGCACCTGTCAGGAAGGTTCTGGAATCAGCTACCCAGCACAGGATGGACGAGAGGACCCCAGGGGCTGCACCTGGGCATGGTGGTGGGTGCTGATTTGGGAGTCAGGAGCTCCACCTTCCACCTGGAGGGTGGAGGAGCATGGGCAGCCCTGGCCCAAACCCTGGGCTGGGACCACAGAGAGGGAAGCCCAGGGGAGGTGAGGGGCAAAACCCTGGGGAGGGGGACTGGGTGGGCCAGGTAGAAGGAGTCAGAAGGGTGCTGAGGGGAGAGGGAGTCAGAGGTGACACATGTTCCTGTGGGTCAGGACATGGCAACCAGGTGTGAACGCAGAAGAAAAGGCCATGCCAGCCCTTGACCACTAGCTCAGTCGGGTTTGTCCTCCAGCCTGTCTTCCAGAGCCTGGTCCCCAAACCATCCACCACACGGGCTAACATTACCTGGGATGCCAGCATGGGGGACTTAGGGGTCTGTGGCTGATGAGGGAAATCCAGGGCCAAGGAGTCAACAGAGAGCAGGGGACGGGGAGGGACGGCGGGAAGGGGCTGTGCTTGGGGAATTTCTAGAAATAAGCTGCTCATTCAGGACGGGTAGGTGCTGTCCAGTCCTGTACAGCAATTGCTTCTGGCCGCCCCCCGTGGCGACATGCCTGTTCCCAGGTAAAAACAAATGCACAGAAATGGTTACTACCCACTGTGCCCCTCAAACCACCCTCCCACCCCCCACCCCCAGG